CTACACAGCCGGCAACACAGGCTCACAGAGCTGAACTCAGGGCTTCGAGGGCAGACTCCAGAACTCATCCACGCAAGGTGCACAAAGTCAATCAGTTCTACAGCTCCTTAACAGGTACCCCAACCCAAACTAGAGACAGAGAGAGATGGACAGACAGCTGGACACCAGTGTGTGTGTGCACAGATACGGTAACTGGAAATACACACGATATGCATTTTAAACGAAAATCTGTATCAATCCAAATAGTTTTAAAGTCAGACAAAATTAATATAAAGGGCTGGAAAACTAGCCAATTATGGTCAATGTTGGCTTCGCTTCTGATCAGTTAAAAACAGTTTGTAAATATCCTTTCCATAATTCAAGTCTGGAGAAAAAAGCCTAAGGTATTATCCAAACTTCTCCTGAGACTCTAAGCCCTACATCAATGAAAGAGCTATGTGTGCCACACTCCAAACCTACTGCTGTAGCCGCATCCACGCTGCACCGCGCCCTTCACACACCTGTTCCCTTCACGGTCCTCCTTCCTGACCCTCCCCCCAACACCGCGGGGAGTGCACGCGCGCATGCGCCGGCTCTGCAGGTGCGATTCACTCCACACCCTACGTTCTTCCTTTCTACCCTGCTGTCCTATGCAGGCAGTCCGGGCCAGCCTCCTTCATTCACAAGTCACACTCCCTGTTTATAAGCATGGCAGTCCACTCACTGTTGCCACAACTCAGTTCTGCATGCTGGATCATTGATAGAGAATGAGGTTTATGTATCTCACGGAGTTCTGGGGGCTGGGAATCCAAGGACATGGTGCCCACACCTGCTCAGCTTCACTGCAGAGTCCCACGGAGGCACAGGGCATCATAGGCAAGACGGGGCAAGCTGGCTAACTTGGATCTCGCTTCTTCGTTGAATAAAGCCGTGAATGCAATCAGGAGGGCCCCACCTTATGAGCTCATTTAATGCTGATCATCCCCCACAGGCCTCACCTCCGGATGCCAGCAATTGGCAACGTTGGGATCATGCGTTTCAGAGAGGACTAACAGCCAGACCACAGCGCTACTCCTGACAGCACTGAGCCCAGGTTCTAGTTGCAGGTTTCCCTTATTTATAACCAGCACCTGGATGATTCTGCAAGGCTAAGGGTCCCATGTTTCTTGCTATTAGTGCCTTAGGTGCCTCGGAAATGCTGAGCCAGTGAAAACTGTGAGTGAGAGGTATCGCTGTTTCATCTCCAAATTTCAAATACTGTACCCCATTTCTAAGTCCCGATCAGTGCTCTCTACCTCTTCTAACCATCAGAAAACGAGGAATTACTATTATTCTTATTTATTTATTTGAAAGAGTTAGAGAGAGAGGTAGAGACAGAGAGAGGTCTTCCATCTGCTGGTTCATTCCTCAGATGGCCACAAAGGCCAGAGCTGAGCCGATCCGAAGCCAGGAGCTTCTTCCTGGTCTCCCACGTGGGTGCAGAGGCCCAAGGACTTGGACCACCTTCCACTGATTTCCCAGGCCATAGCTGAGAGCCGGATTGGAAATGGAGCAGCCGGGACTAGAACCAACGCCCATATGGGATGCCGGCGCTTCAGGCCAGGGCTTTAAATCCACTTCGCCACAGCACTGCCCCTGGAATTACTATTTTTCTATGAAGGCCATACATACTGCTAAAGGCATTCACAGAAATGAGTTAAGTAAACATTTAACATCTATCCTAGAACTTCAACTGGGCATCTTCTCCTTCCCCCTTCTATCTTGTCATTATCTTAAGAAGCCAAAAGTGATGCTTTTATCCTAGGTATTCAGAGACCTGAGGCGGAGGTGAGGGGGCGCAGGTGCAATAGCGTCAGCTTCTAATTTCCAAAGGTCACTGCCTACGGAAGGATATAGTACACTTTTATGCTGCAGCTGGCCCCCATATCCATGAGTTTCCCCATGTACCAGTTCTGTATCTGCTCGCTCAAGAATAAAAGGAGAAAAAATAGTTTGGTCTGTACTGAACATGTAGACCTTTTTCTTGTCATGATTCCCTAAATAATACAAGGCAACTATTCACTGAGCATTTCTGTTGCATCAGGCGTGGTAAGTCATCTAGAGAGGATTTAAGTATACAAGACAAAGGGCATAGGCTATATGCAATATCATGCATTTGATATGAGGAACTAGCATTGATTCCCCATGACTACCAGGACAACTGTTTAACAGTGCACTAGGGCAGGCGCCGTGGCTCAATAGGCTAATCCTCCGCCTGCGGAGCCAGCACCCCGGGTTCTAGTCCCAGTCAGGGCACCGGATTCTGTCCCGGTTGCTCCTCTTCCAGGCCAGCTCTCTGCTGTGGCCCGGGAAGGCAGTGGAGGATGGCCCAAGTGCTTGGGCCCTGCACCCGCATGGGAGACCAGGAGAAGCACCTGGCTCCTACCAGATCAGCGCGGCGGCCATTGGAGGGTGAACCAGCAAAGGAAGACCTTTCTCTCTGTCTCTCTCTCTCACTGCCCACTCTGCATGTCAAAAACAAACAAACAAACAAACAAACAAAAAACCCCCCAAAAAATAAAAACAGTGCACTAGGTGGAGCTGTTGTTGTGGTGCAGTGGGTTAAGCTACTGCAGGAGACAGTGGCATCTCATATGAGGGCTGATCCAAGTCCCAGCTGCTCCACTTCTGATCCAGCTCCCTGCTAATGCTCCTGGGAAAGCAGCAGCAGATGGCCCAAGTGCTTAGGACCCTGCTACCTATGTGGAAAACCCGGATGGAGTTCCAGTTCTCTGGGCGTTGGCCAGATCTAGCTATTGTGGCCATCTGGGGAGTGAACCAACAGATGGAAGATCTTTTCCTCCCTCCTTCTCCCCCCCCCCCCAACTCTGCCTTTAAATAAATAAAATAAATATTTTTTTTGAAGTATACTAAGTATACCAGCAAGGAGGGATGATCCACTGACCCAGATACTCAGTCCTACAGTCAACTATGCGGTAGCCCCTAAGTCACTGCATTTCTACTTGTTGTAACTGCTCTTCACGGCTGTACACAGTGTGCCAACGGTGTGCTCTGCATTTGATACCTCCCATTCCATCAGCTCCTCATGCCCAGGGGAGGAAGTACTGTTATCCCCATCTCACACAGGAGGAAATGGGTCAGGGCAGGGCTGCAGTGGAGGTACTCTGGTTCCGACTCTTAAAACGCCTGCCTGGAGCCGCCCCAAGTTGCTCTAAGTGCTCAACGTGAATGACCTTGACTCTTTCTGAACACCCTGTAGCCTGGGTTTCCCTGCAGTGCCCTCTCTTACGGGACCCAGAGAAGTACAAAATCTGAAGGACATTCGGCCTGTCATTTACTCTCAGCCTTACCAGGGACCAAACAAAGCCAGGGTCAGGCTAGAAATTTAGTTCCTTCAGTCTGTCCTTAAATAAATACTCCGGTTTTCTTAATGCTTTCACGCCACTCCTTTCAGAACACGTCCTAGTTTATCTGTGAATAAAAACATAAGATTGCACAGTACGCGCTAACAGCCCAATTCCAACAATGTCTTGTATCTCGCACTAAACTGCAATGAGAGCTTCCAGTCAATTCCTACTTAAAAATAAAAATCAGAACATCAACATGCAGTAAACAAAAGGACTTGGCTGAACTGTTCTCCAGACATTGGGATCCTGTATATGGCCAAGCACATCTGGCTTGTGCCTTGTCCAAAGCCATCACAGAGCCTCCCTCACAACGTATTTCAGATTTTAGATGTGACATTCGGAGCATCTACATTATTTACAAGTGAAATGCATTTAAATAATCGCACACCCCTCTTGATCCCAGGTAGGAACTGGCGTCAGAACAAACATAGAATCATATTTTAGAATTGCTGGCAGACTCCCCCATCCCAACCCCAGCACACACATAGGCACACACACATACACACACATGCATCATACACACACATGCACACACACATGCACCCCTATCCAAACCCTTACCCCACTGCAGACAAAGCAGTTTCCATTTAACATCCCTCTGGTAAGCAACATTTTCTTAAAACCTACGAGCTGCCTCCGTGCCTTAGCGATATTAAGGTACACACACACACAAGGGCAAATTATTTCCAAAGAACATCATTACAGTAATTGATTCTTTCTAGAAAGAGGACTTTGTTTTCAAAGCTGGCCCGATGCATTACAGAGCAGCAGTTTCCTTAGTGACGAGACACTTTGCAACTTGTCAAGGTCCCCTTTAAGTCGCATGCAATCAACGGCTGTCTGTCGGAGAGAAGAGCCACTTTCACTGTGCTGTGATTGTCCGCACTCACCGATACTGGAGCGCTGTGTGCATCGCATTTCCAGATGGGCATCTAGGACAGAAACTCCGACAACAACGCTCCCGGCCCTCAACTTCACAGCACATTAACTCTTCCTTAGCAATGCCATAAAGATTCCATTTGCTATCAACTCACAGGAACAGCAGCACTTGCCGCAGCTGAAACCAAGGCTTAGGTGCCTACCATTCATTACGTGTAGTATTGCCAATAACCTTAGCCTCACAAAAGACATATACTCATCATCCTAGCTCTTCAAACAAGGTACACTTAAGCTCCCGCTCACTAACAGCTTTTATCCCGTTTCCACATAAGGCACAAAGAACCCTGGTGCTAGGTAACTACACAATATTATGCAAAGTCTACCGCCTTATCAGACATTCCTTCTTATGCATTTTCATGGTCAGCTTTGAAAACTTTCTGCTTTTCCAGTTATCTTACTCGGCTGCCTCCCGCTAGCTAAAAAATCAATTTCCAAGCGACAGCTCCCTAGGGAAAAGATACAGGCGCACTCCATGAAAACACAGATTTCATTTTCACCTCAAAGCCACCCAGCACCGTCCCCTTCCGCTGCTCCTGAGTTCTGATTTCCCGGGTCTGACCTCCCGAAGCCCAGCCCGCAGTCCCGAACCGCTCGGCAGGCTCGCCGGCTCGGGTCAGGTTGAAGTTTACAAGGTAAACAGGTCCCCGCCCGCGCCGGGGAAGAGCGAGAACTCACCGAGGCGGGCAGACCCCGGGCGAGGGCGCAGAGCCGCCAGAGCTGGGGCGCAAAGCCGGCTTCCCGCCGTTCGCCTCTGCAGACCCGTGTCTGCGCCCGGGTCGCCGGCGCTCCCCGCTCGCTCTCCAGGAGCTGCGGGTGGAGGAGAGCTGCCTTTGCATCAGAGCCGGGGGCTGTGCCAGGTGGAACTTCCACCCCGTGACCTAGTTGAAAGTGCGAGAACCACAGGACGAGGGCATGGGAGGGCCGGCGAGCGCGCCAGGCAGCAGCGGGGTGGGGAGCGAGCGGCCGCCGGGCTTCACAGGACAAGTTGGGGAGCGGCCCCCGGAGGCCTCGGGCGCCCGGGCTCCCTCGGGCGCGCCCGACCGCAAGCTCCTCCTCCCGCCGCGCCCGGGGTCCAGGCTGCGCCGCCCTCCTCCCGGCGCGCCCAGCGCAGGAGGCGCCGCTCTCGGGGGTCCGGGGGCGTCGGGCGTCCCCGAGACAGCAGCCCGAAGCCGCCTGCGCCCGCGTTCCCCGCCGCCGCCGTCGCCATCCCCGCCTCGCTGGGCCGCCCTCACCTCTCCGGAGGCGGCGCTCGGGCTCCTGGCTGTCCGGGAACCGAGGCCCGCGGCGCCGGCCGGCCGCAGAGCGTCGCCTCCCTGCCGGGTCCCTCGCGGACGCCCCGCCCAAACGTGCCTGGGCAGGGGAGCTCGCCGCCCGGCGTGGAGACCGGGGTGACCTTGCTGCCTGTTCCCCGCGGCCTCTGCCGGCGAGGCCCGTCGTGCGTGGGAGGAGGCGGGTACACCTGGTCGGCCCAGAGGGCAGCAACGCAGTACCTAGGAAGGCAGCAACGTGACGCTGAGCGCGTCTTGTCTCATTTGCTCCTTTCACCACCTGCTTCAACGCGGATGTCCCGGGGGCACGCACCTGGGATGGCTGCTGCGAGGTGTAAGTCCTAGGGAACCCTGCTTAGACGCTGCAGGGTTTTGCACAGAACAGCTTCCTCGATGTCTGAAGTTCTGCAAAACCAACGCCCTGCAAGCAGCCTCTAGCCGACCGAGGGACGGAATTTATAAGTTTGTGTCCAAAACTGCCCTCCCATTGCTCTGTCATAATCGCATTAACTACTTCCATGTAGAATGATGTGTAATGATTTTCAATCCGTGTTATTAAACAACTCAGTTACCATCAGGGGACCGAGGTATTTATTTAAAATGTGTGTTCTGCATGGTCTAGCCATAAAGACCTCGGTTAGCACGCCTGTGCCCTATGTCCCAGTGCCTGGGTTCCATTTCTGGCTCAGGCTCCTGATCTCAGCTTCCTGCCAAAGTGCACCCTGGGAAGGAGCAGGTGATGGATGCAAGTAATTGGGTCCCTGCCACCCACGTGTTGAGTTCCTGGCGTTGGAAAGAGCAAACCTGCCCGCAGGAGCTCGCGCTGTCAATCTGTCTCTCTCCCTCTCTATCCCTCAGATAAATGCATTTTTTTTTAAAAAAAAATATACACATGCCCAATCTTTACAAATTAGCAAGTTTAGTACTGCTGTGCTGGAGATGAGTTCATGTTGGGCTGTTTTTCCAGTCATTTGTTAGCACCTCGCTACTCCATGGAAGCCAAAAAGTTAATAGAAAATGAAATTAAAAGGTAAGTTCAGGTTGGTGCCCGAACTTTGAAATCCACAGTTAGGATTTTTCACAATAGACATTTCCACTACCTTTTTGAAATACCTTGCGTTTTCTCACATGGGCGCTTGTATACTGAGGTGTTACAAAGGGGGCAGGTGAAGTCAACATATGCAGTTTCTGACTCTGGGATAGTGTTGTGGGGTCACAGTGTATCACAGTGGGGTGGGGTATGGCCATAACATAGAGGATCATTTGCTTGGGGCTCTTTGTCACCATGCCCAGAACAATCAAATCGATACTTCCTTTTCTGTAAATGTCTTTTTTCCCATTTAAAAAAAATACACCTAAGCCTGGATTTACATATCCTCCAGCTGAATGCCAGCCCACAGAAATGCTGCTGGCTATTTTTGTCTCCATTCAATGGAGCTACAACTGCAGAAGTCCTTGGACACAGGCTGAGTATTAGATACTGCGATGGTCCTTCTAACCAGGCAGGATGACAAGTCACACCTAAATAAATGGGGCATGGGGTGGGTATTGTGGTGCCGTGGGTTAAGCTGCGGCTTGGGACACCTTGGAGTACCTGGTTCAAGTCCTGACTACTGTATGGTCTGCTCCAGTTTCCTGCTAATACCCCCGGGGAAGGAAGCAGATAATGGCTAATGGTCCTTGAGTCCCAGCATTCCACATGGAAGGAGTTCCTGGTTCCTGATTTCAGTCTGGCCCAGCATCAGCTGTTGCTGGCATTTGGGAAATGAACCTTCGGATTGAAGATCTCTCTCCCTCTCCCTCCCTTTCTCTCCTCACTTCTTTCCCCCTCTCATTCTTTCTCGGTCATTGTGCCTTTGAAATGAATACATCTTTTAAAAAAGTTTATTATAGTATCTGGCACAAGGTAGTTAGCTAAGTTTTGTAAAAATTTATCTGATGGAGGAGAGCTACTCAGTATGACAAACAGGAGAGTGGCCTGGTCTAAATGGTGCAGGAAGGGGCCAGTGTTGTGGTGCAATGGGTTAAGTCACTGCCTACAACACTAGCACCCATATTGGAGCGCTGGAACAGAATGGAGTTACAGGCTCCTAGCTTCAGCCTGGATCAGCTCTAACTGTTGCAGCCATCTGAGGAGTGAAGCAGTAGATAGAAGATCTCTTTGTTCCACTTTCTCTATCACTCTGCTTTTCAAATAAATAAAATAAATCTTTAAAAAAACAGAAAATGAGAGAAATCAATTACAGGGAAGGGATGACAGGTATAGGATTTTGATAAAAAGAATTGGCTGGGGAATGCTTTCCAGATACGGTTGAGGCACAGGTTCTTAATCTTTTCTTTACATATTTTGTAAAGAATTATTGATTTGAGAGAAAATGAGAGAGATATCTTCCATCTGCTGGTTCACTCCACAAATGACCACAACAGCTGGGACTGGTCCAGGCCAAAGCCAGGAGCCTGGAGCTGCATCTGGGTCTCCCATGTGGGTGGCAGGGACCCAAGTACTTGGGCCATCTTCTGCTGCTTTCCTAGGTGCATTAGCAGGGAGCTGGATTAGAAGCAGAGCAACTGGGACTTGAACCGGCTCTCAAATGGGATACAGAAGTTGCAGGCAGCAGCTGAGGTCTCTGCACCACAATGTTGGCTCCGGTTCTTAATCTGTTGAGTTTGTAGGCCTCTATGAACATGCAATAGAAATTTTGAAGCTCTCCTTTGTAGTAGACAAATGTAAAAATATTTACATACTTTTTTTTATAAACAATTTTTTTATTTGAAAGTCAGAGTTACACAGAGAGAGGAGAGGCAGAGAGAGAGAGAGATCTTCCATCCAATGGTTCACTCCCCAATTGGCCGCAACGGCTGGAACTGCGCCAGTCTGAAGCCAGAAACCAGAAGCTTCTTCTGGGTCTCCCACGTGGGTACAGGAGCCCAAGGATTTGAGCCATCTTCTACTGCTTTCCCAGGCCACAGCAGAGAGCTGGATCGGAAGAGGAGCAGCTGGGACTAGAACTGGCGCCCATATGGGATGCTGGTGCTTCAGGCTAAGGCATTAACCCACTGCACCACAACGCCGGCCCCATATTTACATACATTTGCAGAGAGTTCATAAGCAGAAGCAGATCTGTAGAATCCTCAGAGGCCTGTGATTTGATATACCAATTCCTTGTTTGGGGGCAGTAGGACAGATTATTCTAGTTGAGACCATCACAAAATTTATGTATTTCCATGATCGCCAGCCGAATTAGGTAAAGCAAAGAGTACTGCAAAGAACATTTGTACACTAGAGAAATGTGTCTGGACTTCGTAAGCTGTTAATGCCCTTTCTCTACGTGAGATTTTTCACTTCCATACTGTAGCAAAAACAGGAAAGGGATAGATAAAATGTGACTGGCAAAACATTGATAATTGCTGATGCTGGGTGTATCTCATATTTTGATGCTTGACCATTTCATGAAAAAAAAATTCATAAATTTTTACTACTGGGCAATCATAACAAATCTTATAATATTTACTATAATCCTATAATATTTACTAACTTCTCTTTTTAGAATGAAAATTTTGTACATAAAGAAAGAAGAAAAAAAAAAGTCAATGATGTCACACATAAGATTTGTTACCAATAAGTAGACTCTATACAGAGACAATAGCTTTTCTCTTAGAATGAATTATGAAATGTATTGATGCTATAGGTTGACTGGATGTTGAATGGCCCCTAAAAGCCCATGCATTAAAGGATTGGTCTCAGGGCTTTCATCATGGTGCAGCAGGTTAAGCCAGTGGCTGTGATGGCCACATCTATATCAGCACCAGTTTGAGTCCTGGCTGCTCCACTTCCTATCCAGCTCCCTGCTGTTGTACCTGGAAAAGCAATGCAAGACAACCCAAGTGCCTGGGCTCCTGCCACCATGTGGGAGTTCCAGGCTCCTGGCTTCAGCCTGGCTGATTTGGAAAATGAGTTCCAGGCTTCTGGCTTCAGCCTGGCCGATTTGGGAATGTACCAGTGGATGGAAATCTTTTTCTCTCTCCTTTTCTCCCTCTCTCTCTGAATCTCTCGTACTCTCTCTCTGCTTTTCAAGTAAATAAATCTAAAAAAAAAGGAGGGGGTGGTCTCCAAAGCCTTGTGTTAATGGTGTTAAGAGTGGAAACTTAATCTAATTATGGATTTACAGGTAGACATTTGGGATGTGATTAAATTGTGTTAGTTCAACAGGATGGAGCCCACCATCAAATCCTGTTGGCTTTGAAAGGGAAGACAGAGAGAGACATGCTCCTTCTTGCTATGTAGTGCTTTGTACTGCCTCAGGATTCTGCTAGCAAGACCTCATCACCAGATGCCCAGCCAGTGGGGCCACCTGATCTTGGACTGTGAACCTCCAGAACCATGAGCCAAGCAAATACTTCTCCTTATAAAGTCAGCGTCTCTCAGGAGTTTCATCATAATCACAAAAAACGGACTAATATAGTTAACCATAATCTAAACAGAAGTTGATCACTGTGGAACACTGAACAAGTAAGTATTCTGTTTCTTTTTAAACTTATGCTTCATTTCATATTGCTTAGTTAGCTAAGTTCCTTTATTATTACATTATTATATAATGACATTGATATATGGTATGTAAATATGCTTGTATTATATATTAGTATGTTATATTACCATGTTATATGTTTATAGTAGTGCTGTATTGCTTGGTTAACTCAGTTCATTTCTTGGCTAGACTTCTAGGTCTGGCAGCCATGATTCTCTGTCCTTGCCTTGTTCACTGCCCCCTAAGAAAGGCAGCCACAGTGGCTCCTTACCTATAGGCTGGCATACTGTCCATCATGTGGCTAAATCACCCAAGAACTGATGTCCATGCAAAGAAGCTGTCCGATTTTCCCAGTGGCCCACAGGGGAGTCTCCTGGAAGAATGCTGCCAGATAGGTATGATGTGCTATATTGCACGGGATGAGAGCACCCACTCATATCTTTTTCCTGATGTCATAGAGGCCAGAACCTGGGTTTGAACAGACACAGGAAGGGCGCCAAAGCCTGAGTTCACTGCCTCAGGAGAAGCAAGGATGGAGTCCCACACATCACTGGGAGCAGCAGGTGCCTTGGTAACAGAAGAGCTCCCCCTATTGTACTTTCTGGGATGCTAGGTTTCCCCATGGGCCTTCTAGGACTCCGAGCTGTTTGTGGCATTGGAAGCTATTGCTTGCTATTACTTACTTCCTCGTGTGGCTTCATAATGAAACGGTGTCACTGCAGACCAGGTAGCACACCACCTGCCTAGAAAGCTGTCATGACAGAAAGTCGAGTTCTGCCTGTCTTTCTGCGGCTTTCTCCTGCCTAGTGGTCCTC